CCTCTGTGATTGTACCCTCTTGTTCTTATTCGCACTCACACATCTTGTGGATTCTTACAGAGGAGGCTCTCGAGGGGAACTGAAGATTTCCAGTTTGCTGTTGCGTTTGTTATCTTGCTGCCTGTTCAATTATCCGTAGGTCTCCCATGAGCACTGTCCAGCATATACAAGCTGTATACAAAAGACAATGTCATACGATATCGTATACATCATTAGATCATGTCACTATTGCCGGGAGACTGGACAATAGAAGACTATTGTGATATAAATTTGATTTCATACTAATACATGTAATTGAGGACCCCCATCCAAACTAGACCTGAACTGGGATTCCAAAAGCAAACAGCAGTTACAATGAGATGTGCATTACAGGTTTTGTTGCACTAGTAGCAAGTGTTTACCAGGCAAACGTCACATTTCTGTAGAGTGCACTCTGACCACATATTCTATCGTACTAATTACAACACTACACAAAATAAACACTACTGTCATTCTTATTGATAAATGATGCAGCTTAATCAGGTATCTTAAAAGGACTTTGGTGGGGGAGGCTCTTCAAACAAAAACATTTTATTTGTAATAAGATACTGAAGGTGCTTAATGATACGTCGAGCATAACACATCAGAAACGTTCCCTGTCCCTACAGCGCTTGAGCTTTAGGATAACACATCAAACTTCTCCTTAGCCTTTGGCTGGCTGAAATGTAGCTGCACTCTTGAGAGCTTGGGTCAGGAAATGAGAATAACCCCGGCAGATCATAAGGGAAGTGGGCTATGAGTATGTGAGACCTGAACACATTTTAAATTTCACGTCAGCGTCTGGACGCGCGCTGCTTTCCTTTTTTCGGTTACAGCTAAAGTGGCCCACCTGCGCCTCACCTCCTCAACGTCAAACAGTGATGATAAATGACAAAGGCGGGGGAAACCACATACAATGTCTGCACCACAACTCTTCATATCCTTTTACTTAATGCTCGATATCAGTGTGGAAATTGTGCTCTTATTTTCTATATAGAAAATGATGCTCGACCCAACGGTGGTCATTTCCTCGTCTGTTTTTGTTCAGTCTTTGAGGGGAAGAGGCTTACTGTACAAATACATTCGCAGAGAAACTCAATAAAATGTCGTCCAGTCTGAGTGCTTGGTAGCCTTAGCAAGCGTCGTTACTTACAAGAGAGGAGAATAACCTGACTCAGTGACCTGAGTGCTGAGATGAAATGAAAACAAAGACATGCTGACCTTACCCCACGCCCCACAAAGAGGGCTGCACAATATCCGTTATGCCATCAATTATTATTATTGCAATATTGGCCTACACAATACAACATATTATGAATACTCTGTTTATTAGAATGCAAGGGGAGTGATTTCCACTGAAGCCAACGAAAAAAATGGTAACCCAAGAGTGACAAAAATGTTCTTGCACTAGGTCTAAATTTGTAATATTTTGCCTTCCATATGCAGACAATAAATATAGAGAATTCATCCAAAAACACTATAAAAGAGTCAAGCAGTCGAGCAGTGCCTTTTAATTATTGGCAATACATACCTGGATAATTCAGGACTCTAAGTCACCACTGCATGCTACTGAGTCCTTTCTAATTAGACCCCATTGGCTTAACAATTATTATAATAATGATTAAGCCTACTAATAACAACAACAACAATAATAATAATAATAAATAATAATGATTATTATTATTATTATTATTATTATTATTATTATTATTAATGTTATTGTTGTTATTATTATCATGGATTTCAATACTGAAGGCGACACGTGAGCAAGCATGGTGTTAGCGTTTTAGATGATGCTTGTTTTTTTTAATCTTAAAAAATGTTATTACAGCACAGTTCAGTAAAATGTGTTGTTTGAATGTATTATCTTGAATTCGGCTATTAAAAATATAATTAAATTAGTAAAAAAAGAACAGAATTTAAATGCCATGCAAACTTTAACCAGTGCTGTGTTATCTTTAGCCTTAGCTTAGCCTGATTGCACAATTTCCTCAATCCTTTATCTGATGTATGAAACCTGATGCTGCGATCTGAAGATGTGTTAAAGTGTACACCATATAAGCAGCTTTATGTACAGGCATGAACAGTCTCATCTATGTTAGGTACAACAACTGTGGTATTAACGTAGGATTTCACAACATTTTTAAAAGATTGATATATTCACATGTGAGAGTGCTGGTGTCCTGCTATGGTTTGCAAGCATGATTTATTTTATAAAATGTCTGAATTAACTATGTCAGTAAATGAGTGAACGGGGCTGTTACCATGGTAACTCTTAACTATCACTCAGCACAGGCCTAACGAACATGCTTGATCCAAAATCTAGACAGCTGACTGGCTGTCGAAATCACATTCTGCGTGCATGTTAGTAACATCAGCACTTCTTGATCACGTCACTGAGGTCAGTAAATAGACGCACTTCCAGCACATTATCACATTTCTGGTTCAAGCCACAAAGACTTGTGTTTTTTAATTTAAAAGGAAAAAAAATCATTCAGGAATCAGCACTGAAGTCAATGTATCTGTTTGGTTATTGCAGGTTTTTAAATGATACTCAACCCAGCTGTAATTACAGAAAGTCATGTGCCTTTCACTTGTACGGCAATTCAAACATTTGATCCGAACAAGTACCATTGTTTTCATCGTCCGCAAACCGGCTAAGTAATCTTTGAAAAACCAACTGACCACAAGTCTCTGCTTTAGACAATGGCAGTACGATCGTGTTTGCAAGTCATGGTCAAATGGCACATTGGGAAACTAAACATAAAGCCAACTGCCAACAGTACTCATAAGGAAAGTCTAACTTCAGCTCCAGATTAAAGGGAAGAACCAACTGTGTGCTTTCAACCGCATGCACACTGCACCAATGTTGTGTGTGTGTGTTTTTTTTGCAGTTGTTCCAAGTGATAACTTATGTTGACATCCTGCAAACTCCAAACAGCACATGCTTGATGCTGGCTAGCCCCGCCTTATTTATTTATTTTGCTTTGACCAACACATTAATGGATAAAAGACCACATATGTCCACCTGGTGTCTGGCCACCTGTCCAACAATGCGCTATGCATATACCATCGTGTACTGAGAAGAACCACAGAAGCTCCACGGTTAGAACGGCTCTCAACATTGTTTTTATATTCTCAATATTTTTTCCAAATAAACCTTAACCAACATTTTCATAAGCCTCTATATTAGAATCTAGTTAAGGCACTTCATTCATAACTAAATAGAAGGTTTATAGATATAATGTCTAATGCACTAAAATCACATTCTTAGCTATGAAAACTTCATATAGTTCAGGATACACCCAGGACAGATCACCAGTCCATCACAGGGTTCATGCAGGTCATTGTATGGCAAAAACAGGTCACAAAGATCATTTAATTAAATTTACCACTATTTTACCATTATCAACATATATAAAAATATATATAAAACCTTAGAAGTCACCAGCCATTTTAGCACCACCACTGCAAAGAAATCTGAGTTGTAAGTTTCTCTACACTATTTTACATCAAACCACCCTGAATGACTTTGTTTATATCTCAATAGATTTATGTGGAAAGTTTGAAAAATGGGTGGAATTCCCCTTTAACAAAGATATACAACACAGCCTTCTCTGTACAGCCCACTAGCGGCATATTAAACATATTTCTTCTTAGTTCAGTGCCCAAACTAAACAGAAAAAGCAACAATGGTCTTTATGTAGATTAGGCTACTAATACAGAAGCAGACAGGCATTCATCAAACTGAAAACCAAGATGAGAGGGATGTAATTTCTGTAAATTATAGTTTTGCCATAGTTAACACCACACATGAAATGCAAGGTTTACCGATGGGTAGCGCCTGGAGAGCATGTGATGTTGCACAAGGAGTACAGAAACCAAACAACGGAGATGACAACTTATTTTGACATACAGGCAATCTATCTTTCCATGGCATCTTATATTCAGCTTGATAACATAGCCCACTAAACTGTCAGAGAATAGAAATAGCAGCAAGAGGTGCTTTACACCCATGTTGAGGACTATCACTGGGTCACACAGTGGACAGTTTGCGTTTAAAAAGGTCACCACAGTTCACATTGCAAAACGCAGACTGTGTAAATAACAATCAGAGGTGGGTAGTGGCTAGCTGCACATACTCAGGTAATAATTTTGATAGATTTGTGCTTTTCTGAATATTTTCAAATACTCAATACTATTCTCATTCAATCATATCCTGCATTTTTCTTGCATTTTATTTTTCTCTCCTTGTGGCTCACTTATAACATTACCGCTCACCTTTAAATGACCATTTTCCAACTTCGCTTATCTCTTAGGATTAAACAGGCTGTATCGTCGCTGTCCAATGAAAAACATGTATCGCCATTCTTTTGTGATTTTTACTTTTCAATTTCATGACGATTGGACCAATAGAAATGCTCCAAAATTGCTTAGAATAAAATATCTTTCCATTAACTTACATTGAAAGTAAAGAAAATTTTTGCCCTCTCCTGTAAAGCTACTATTTTGGAGATACCTGTTTTCTTTGGACAGCGACGATACGTAAATGAGCTCGGTTGCAATTGGCTGCCCTGTATTGTGTCTCAATCAAAAAGCAGTCTGGGCTGAAAGACTCCTTAGAACTTCAGCATGTAGTTGTTTGCTTTTGCAGCATCATAAAAACAATCACTTTACAACAGGTTGTTCTTGCAGCTTATTTTCTATATACGGACTGTTTGGTTGGACTAGGGAGTGAATGTTACTTTTAAAACCATTTTTAGTTTTAGTTTAATTTTTAGTTTAATTTTATATTAGCATAGAAATGTTCAGTATAATTTAGTGTCTTTTTAAAATATGGGCCCTTTAAGTCTTTTTTAACTAGTACTTTGGTGAGTGTACTTTTAAACATACCATAAACAATATTAGTTATTAGCACTTTTACGTGAGTATGTGAACTATTGTACCATCTCTGGTGACAATCAACTAAATGAAAAGCTCACCTTCATTTTCAGACGCTGGACATGCCACCTGTAGAACCAAATCAAATGTTCTCTCTGGGTTCTCACTGAAACAAATTACAAAAGATACAATTAGATAAAATCAGACACAGATAAAGTAGTTTTTTTCGTATTAAGATATGTATTTTTCACATTCTCTGTATAAATCTCTAAAGTAAAGTCTTAGTGTTATACTATGCGCTGAAGCATGTCAAGCTCTTTTTTTTTTATCAGTTTGTGGTTTGTTAATGCGGCTTTGCTTCACTCAAACCTCTTCCGTGCAGTGGAAGGTGCACAGCTAACTAAGCTGGCTAATTTGAGCATCCAGCGGACAGCAGAGCGCCTAATGCAGCGTTTAACAGCCCAGCTAAACTTCCTCAAAACGGACTCTTAGTTCAGAGGCGCTTGAGGACGTATCGCTTTGGCCTGTCATGGCTCCTTAGCGCCCCGTGTCCCCCTCTCCTAAAAACAGAAAGCGGTGGTAACCTAAAGCAGTGGCTGGCTAAGCTAAGCTAAGCTAACAGAGCGCTCCGTTAGAGAGCCCTTCTTCTCCTCCTCCTTCTTCTCCTCCTCCTCCTAGCCCGCGAAGCTAACTGAGCTAAACCCCCCAAGTCAGAGTAATTCATTTCAGCCTGACAGTAGCTTCGGCTTCGGGACAGTCACAGGGCTTGCTCGCTCAGTGCGGGCAGGAACGCACAGCTCCCCCAGAAGTAAACAGCTCGGACGTACCGTATCCTGCTGTCCATGACTACAGCATCGCGACCCCGCTCGCCTTCTCGCCGGCTCTGGCTTTCAGTCTAAAGCGACGGCGCCTGGACGCTGCGGCCGGCCGCTCTGGAGCTCTGTTTCCCGGCTACCTGAAGCACATTTTAGGCCACTTCGTGTCTCCTGTCCGCGACGTACAAACTTTGTTCCCTGGGAGCCGAGCTCGCAACTGTCCGGCCGTTTCACTTCTGCTCCTGCTGTGTTTGGCGAGCACCAGGAAGTGCGGCCAGCACAGCGTGACGTCATGCCGTAATAGCTGAACACCTGGGCGGTGAGGAGCTCTCAGAGAAGTGAACTGGAGGAATTCATCTGACTCAGGTTGCATACTTCTGGGCGAATTCTGGATCATGTTTGAACCGAAAACAATCCTTAGAATGAAATAAGATATCTGCTGGTTTAAAAAGTTAATATTTCTGCCTTTTTCCTTCATTTTTAACCTCGTGCCTCTGTGGCATCATCACGCACAGACATACCAAAGGTTAAACTTTTGTCTTGGGGGCAAAAAAGACAAAACAACATACAAAAGGTAAAGAATGTAGGTAGGTTTCAAATCGATTTTTTAAAACTTAAATTAAAAAAAAAAAAATGTTTATCATTAAAAAAATACATATAATCTTACACTGCAATTGTGTGCAAAAGTTTAGGCACCCCTGGTCAAATGATGTTTTGATGATTTGTGAAAGTAAAAACAAGTTAAAACATCATCAGAGAACATATTACTGCACATTTGAATGCACATACTGATAAAAAAAAATAAAACGTAAAATGTGGCCGGTGAAAAAGTTATGGCACATTTTATAGTTTACATTATACATGTTAAACTCTACACTACAACTTCCAGAAAAATGCATTGAAATTGATTCCCCGTAGAGGTTGTGTTGACCTATTTTCACTTTGAAAATCAACAAAACATGTAATTTGAGTGTTCAGACTTTTGCATACAACTGAATATTTTGCTTCTACAATACTAAAAAAAATCCAATTTTACAGGGAATTTTTTTTTCATTTTTTTTAAATAAATAACCAACTACACATAGTCTATAAATATATCTGAGGTCACTGTGTGAGGGTTTGGGGTAAATGTCTAGTGACCCAATTGGCCTGCGTGCCACACTTTGGGCAGCTGTGCCATATACCTCTGTGCCAGAGCTTACTGCTCTCTTCCAGCAGCAAGGAAGAAGAAGTCTAGAACAACAAGGCCTACTTAATAATATAGGCAGGTTGTCTTGGTCTTGAGGAGGAAATAGCACATCTTCCACACCACCCACTGGTTTTGAGAAAATGACTAGGTGTCATTACACCAAATGCCTGTTGAGCCTAGTTATAAATAAACAAGCTCCAGTCAAAGCTGGCAAAACAGCGTTGGCCTTTTATCTACCCATGACGAAAAAAACATTGCAGTTTAAGAATATAACACTGTCATTTCCTCTTTCTTTAAAATAAATGAGAAGGTGGAGGTTCATACACTGATATATTTTTTTTTTTTTGAGGGGGGCAGGTGGTGAATAAGAAAAACAAGGAAAGAAAATCTGGCAGCAAATTGGAACACTAAAGAGAAGAACACTAATTTTGTGATTTACATGTGTTATAGTGTTAATTGTGAAATGAAAAATGAGTTTTGTTACATTAGTAACGTAATGAGAGCTCAAGAGGCTGCACACGCAGTGGTGGCAGTGGGTTGGGGTTGGGGGGAGTATTGTGACACGAGACCATGGACATTTGTGTCGTCGTTTCGGTCTCGGTTTCAGAATCGTTAGACCCCTAATTGATATATTTTACAGCAACGTAGAACTTCACACTGAATATTTCACTCAAGTAGTCATGTAACCTACATAACCTAATGCTTTCTTACAGGTGAACATACTCCATAACTTGCTGTCATACATACATCAAGTCAAATTTACTAGTAATAATTTGCTGTTATGGTGAAATTCAGCTTCACAAAATTAGTCACAAGGGGCCATTTTGTTGTAATTTATTGAGTATCACTCCAGTGTTCATCACGCTCAGATTAAAGTGGCCGTGTGGATCTGGAATTAGGACGCCAGTACGTTACTGTTTTTAACACTACTGACCTCCCCTTGCCACCTGGAAACGTAATAGAAATGGCCACCTGAAGAACTGGACAGGAGTATGACATAGGTGGATGGCAGTAGTTTCATTTCCATTCTGCCATTTTTTAAGTGCTAAATTCAGCCAACAAAGGGTAATTGTGCATCATCAGAAGTGTGTTCTCGGTAGAGGATGAGTACAATCAACATAAATAAATAGTCTGTTTAATAATCAGTTTATAAAATTCACTTTACCAGCTTCTTCACTTCATTGTTTTGCTCTAAAATGTAAATTACAATGAGATGCCAAAGAATTCTGGACAACCTTAAGTCTTGAAGTCAACATGCCTGAATATTCAACTCTAAGCTCAAGAATAAAGGAGTAAAAACAGTGACAGGAAAGTTGGTAGCACTGTTCTAGGATGGCTTTACATAATTCAAAACAGAGCACTAATTTGTTTGTAAGTAAATGTTATTTTACTGTTCACCTCACTGAGAGCAAAAACATTTCACCCTCTGCATTCAGTTTATACGCAAGCAAAGAAGTAGCGCACCGGCCTGTTCAAACAACACGTAGTACACTTCGCATAGCGCTTTGTTTTAGTATTGGCAGTGCAATTGACTAAGCATAGCTAGCTGAGGTTGCCGATGTGGTGGTTTCATCTGCCAGAATGTTCTTTAGGTCAGACACTCTGAGTGACAGAAAACTCTGAGGGATACCCTGGTAGCATCTTCAAAAATTGTGTGAATGTAGGCTGCATTTCTCGGCTGTATTCAAAGGATCTTTCTGCCTGGAACAGCCTTTGATGACAGTTAGCAATGCAGCCTATCTAGACCACAGTCTAACATTTGGAGAACAGGTTATGGGAGCTTATTTTGCCCATCTACAGTATGCCTGTAGAATGCTGGCTAATGCTGCATCTGTAACAAAAGGGAACAAAAGGAATTTTTCATTTTGGAGCGACTTTCCACCTCCAAACTTTCACACCACCTCATCTGGTTGAAGCTAGAAAACAATAGACACAGTACAGTGTTTATTTGGCTGCTGAATGCGTATAAAGGGCTATTAAGCCTTTACACTGAGATTAAAATGTGTTTTAGTTTATTTTAAATGTGGATGTACAGCAATTTGTTAGTAATATAGGCCCAAAAATTACATGATAGCATGATCAAAAATCTTGCACAGAGATACCAGAATTTTTTATATCTTTCATGTATTTAAAGATATACAAATACAAACTCAACTGCTGGCTTAAAAATGCTTGAAACAATGCTTAAAATTATTTCTTAATCTATGGGAGCTGCCATGTTAAAGTGACATCATGGAACTGCAACTCAGAATCGGAGTCAGAACGCTTAAGAAAATTCAACTTTCTGAGTGGGAATTACGAGTTGAAGAGCTGTTCAAACGGATTCATGGACGTGGCAAAAGTTCATGACTTCAGGGTCACATTCCTGAATCTTCAAAGGGTTATTTTACTTTTTTTTCACAATTTCTGTATTGTATTTCTTTACAGTAGCGGGGATAGGAACCAGGCGTCATGATACTTATAACACAAATACATTTTAATTACTGTCCAAAACAATCAGTGAGTGTATATATATGACTGTGAAGTTTTTATGGTGGTAAATCTGAAAAAATAAAATAAAATTGGGCACCAATCAGGGCATGGTGGGCTCATCAGGAGGCGGAGCTTAAAGACACAGGAGCTCTAACAGAGTATTTCAGGGGTGAATAGAGATGTATAGTGTTTTTGGAACATTCAAGCATTTAAATCTATTCTAGTAGACCCCCAAAATAAAATTATGAACACTGAAAATTAATATTAGGTCCCCTTTAAAATGCCCTGCGTTCTCTGCCATGAACAAATTGGAAAAATATATTTTTAGGCCAAAATCTGATCTAACAACCATCGTGAAACAAAGTCTGAGGTATCAGGTACCATATTTGTAACCATTTCCTGTAGTAAATTTTTTTTTTTTTTTTAGAAATATCTTTCAAGAGATTACAAGAAACTCACATTTTGGGAATATACAGTATATCATGCATGCAAAAAGCAAAGTTAAGATGTCAAAAGGCCAACAATAATGTCCAGTATGTTGTAAGTTTTAGTAGCTTTGCTGTTCAAAGGCCTTGTTGTTGACATGTAAATGACACTATATCAAAACAAGAAAGTTTGAAATTAGGTTTAGACTTCAGAGCTCTGGCTTTCTAAATATGAGACTTTCCTAGAAGACAAAGCAATATTACAGCATTGTCAAAGTCAGTGTGTTTTGTTTGAGAATCTAAAACAACAGAAATATATAACCTACTAAATAACCTATTAAAACATAAAAACAATAAAACAGAAATATGCATCCATTTTTTAGAGTGGGCACAGCAGCTACAGGAGATAGGCTATCAAAAAACGAACATAACGCATTACACGGATAGTAATCATTAAGAATCTTAAAGTTAGTTTCTCTCATTTTGTTGGGGGCAAAAACACTCCACACATGACTAATCTTTAAATGTGGGTATAACAAACTCCACTTCCGGCATACTCTAGTGTCTAGGCACACTGTTACCCCCTGCGATTGTAGTAAACTTCTGTGAAGGAGCTTTTAAACTCTTCAGATGTCTGGTTCCTATCACCACCACTGTGAACAATTCTGACTTGGTGAAGTCCTCTAGAACCAAGCATTTCACACCAAACCAACCTGGATGACTTTGTTTGCCTTTCAGCGACTAAATTATGGAGACATTTGAAACACTAATGGAATGTCCACTTTAAGGCCATCACTTTCCGAAAGCAATAACTTGAAGAAGAATATTTTTTTATTATAGCCTGACAGTGGTCCTCGTGATGGCTGGTGACATCTCCATTACCTATTGGCTCAGATTTTCTTCCACCATTTTGACACAGTCACAGCAGTATGGTAGCAGTTAGCTGGGGGCGAAATGCTTCTTCTCAGTGGACTGTGCAGAAGCAGCTGGACTCTGCGTGGCGGTCCAAAACTTGGTAGAGCTCCGATTATAATGTCAGCTCAGACTTGCAGCGCATGCTCCGATCTCGGAGAGGAGGGAGACACTCTGACCTGCTCACACCACAATACACTCGAGGACGAGGCGAAGTCGGAAGAGCGGAGTGTGGGAAAGACTGCAGGACCCCCACAGCTGCTGGAGGAAAACAGACTGTCCGAGCAGGAGAAGGTCATTCACAGGCTTCACCAAGAGGCGTGCAAGGTACGAGCGAAGGGGACGGCCTGGGGGTGTTGCACCCAAACTGAATCGTGTAGCACACGGAAGCTCCGAGGAGCTGCCGGCTTGTTTCGAGGCGATTCCCCAACAAGACAAACCAAACTCTGTGGCTGTTCCGAAAAAAAGTAATACAGCGCAGTGTGACCACGAACATCCTGCCATGTTTTGGTTCACCGACCAACCGTTTAGTGTACTAGGCTGGTGTAGGTTAATGCCAAACCGCTAATTTACTGCTACAGATACGGAGCAACAAACTTGGGTGACTCTCTAAAGAGTCTCTACTCCCTAGATAGTGCGCTAGCTACATAAACCACTCAAATAGAGGCCTATAGGCCGGTTTACCTCACCAAGTATAAGCCTACACACTTAAAAAGATGGCTCTTCAAGGATTCTTTAGTAAAGGGAATGGCTCTGTTTAGAACCATGAGTTCTGCATCGATTATTTCAGGCTTAAATGGTTCTTTGCATGGTGAACTGGTTCTTTAGATTGATAGAGAATGTATTGTATGGTTCAATATAGAACCTTTTTGAAAATGGTTCTGTATAGCACAATGTCCAACCTTGTAGCACTAGAAGAACCATTTTTGGTGCAATATAGAACAACACACAACACATTCTCCTTCAGTCTGAAGAATTATTTCACCATATTAAGAACCATTTAAGCATGAAATGGTTTTATATAGAACTCAATAGTTCTCAAATAGTTCTAAATAGAACCACTGCCTTTACCTTAAAGAATCATATTGTTAAGATTGCAGACTAACATAGCTTTTCTATGGTAAATCACAATTGGCGTTACTTTATTTGTTTATTTAAAGGGCCCATATAATGAAAAATCAAACTTATTTTTTTATTTTTATTTTTTTGAAACAAAAAAGTTTGAGGTAATATGTAAACATTTGGAATTAACATTTTGAATTCATTTTGTGACGTAACATATTTACATATATCCACCCATTCACTCTGTGGCAGTTTAGCTTCCAACGTTTTATGGAGTGCTTCAGTCTGAATTTTTATGAACTGAATTTTTTTTTTTAAATAACAAATTTAAAGACACAAAAAATACTAAATATTTAGCACTGCTCACGTACTAAAAATAGTTTAAAAACATTGCTAAAGTTTAATAATGTACCGTTTATTCCAGATATAGAAAATAGTCCTGTTTTGAATTGTTTTTGTGATGTCAAAAAAACCAACATATTTGCATGTGTTTACATACATTTATACACCTATTCAGCCTCCAGCAGTTTAGCCCTGCCCATTCATGCTGAAGTTATAAAAAGTGTTTCAACCCAGACTGTTTTGAATGAGACACAATACAGGGCAGCCAATCAGAAAAGAAGTCACGTACATATATCAGTCTTAAATGTACAGTAACAAAAACAGCGTGTTTACTTCTAAGGGTTAAAGAGAGGTTGTAAAATGGTTATGTAAAAATGAATTATTACTTCTTTTTTATTCATAGAACCACACAAATGTTACAAATGGAAGTGAAAAATAAAAGACAGGAAAAATGTATGAAACAAGCCCTTTAACATGTAAACTGTATAACAGTGGGCTCAGAATTGATCATTTTGACATTACAATTTAATCCCAGTATAAGCTCATTCTGTGTCCAAGAAACCAGCCCTATATGTCCAATAGAAAGCCATTCAGGATTCAGCCCGTGTCCTTGCGGCTGTCAGCAGGGATAGTTTTTGATGGTGCAGTCAAAGTTGATGGCAGAAAGGGAGTTCCAGAAGACCTGTAACCTCAGCGAGTGCACACACAGAAGCAGTGGATGCACAGGCAGTGTCAGCTTCACTATGGAGCCCAGAGATGGCATGGGAAATGGCATGTCACCACACCGCCGCAGGCTCTCCTGCCGTTGGAGCCTGTCACGGCTGAAACTGGCGTGCTTGCCTTTTTAAACCCAGTCGGAGGTGACGTCCACAAACTTTCTACCATTTTCCATTTTGACCGAGTTCAGTTCAGTTCATGGGCGCTTAAAGGCAGAAACAAAAATGGTCGTCTACAGAAGTGTAGGCGAGTATCATTTTAGCCAGCAGTAAATATGATAACAATCTGTGATTCTGACGAAACATCTTAGCAACTTGTAGGAGGGTGCTGTGCTCAGGACTATGCACGTCCAAAGCCATGTTTCCAATGTCTTATATACGTTTTATTCATTTTCAGGCTGGGGAACAGACGTACATTGACCCATTATCTGGATACAAGGTGTTCACTGAGTTTGCACATAAGCAGAGGGGGAGGTGCTGTGGATGTGCATGTAGGCATGTAAGCTCTGCTTCATACAACTCAGATACAAATACAGTAACTCAATCTAATGTTGAGATGAGAAAATTCTCTGTATATGTGAAGCAAATTGGCTAATGTGAGCTACTACAATCATAGACCTTCTGTAGATTACATCTTGCCCATATTAGGAATTTGGGATCTAAGCACATTTTCTCAATGACAAAAATGAATGTGCTCTAAAATCACCAGTATCGTGTCCTGCAGTGAAAATGTTCCAAAACAAAAAGTTTTGTCTTTTGTACATTTCTCCTACATGTGTCACCTGATCCTCTGAATTGTGAGGTCAGAATATGAATCCCACTACGTACATGCCACAAGTAAGCTTACGCCACTGTGCACTGAAATTACATCACATGAAAATCTACTACTAAACTTCAACACTGTTAAATAAGCTTACTGGTTTGCATGGAGTATTTTTGGAGGTTGTCAGTCTTGTGAAATCACTTCAGTGCAGCAGTGTTAGCTTGAAAATAGCAGTAGTCGTATTTTGGCTCCTTAATGACCTCATAGTTTAGAGGATCCAACAATCATCAGAGAAAAAATGTACATTTTGTGCACCCCTAGTCAAAAGACATATTTTGTTTTTTAATGCACAATTACTGTTTATTTGCTGACATTTAACACATTTTATATGTTTTGTATTTTTATTTGTCGAACTTTGCAAATACATAGAAATTCTGCACTGAAGTGTGCATAAGATGCCATATGTAAAGCTACACTATGTAAATGTTGGGGATTTGGAGGCCTCTATGGTGGAAATGTGAAATTGCCTCAAACCCCTTCCGTGAGTGGATGATTTTGAAGATTGTATGTTGAAAGAGTTTTCAAAGAGAACCCAGTCAAAACTTGGTGAAGGACGTGTCCTCTGAGAATGTAAGTTAGTTGTATAATATTGTCATCACATTTTCATCAGAATAATTAATATTGGTTTTGCATATGAGACCTAAACATTGAGTCTGACCTTCTTTTTGAGCCTGTGATCGTAACATTAACACATACTTACTACAAGGTGTTTTTCGAAAACACCATTTTTCTCATGGAGAAAACCAGCTTAGACCAGGAGTTCCTGATATGGGCATGACTACAGAACGACGATATGATGAATTTGGCATGAAACAATCCAGCCTATAGGCATGACATCAAATGTGTTAGTGAAATTAAGCTGTTGTAAATGGTTTAACTTGATTTGTAATTATCTTTTTTCACAGTGTCCATATGGCCAAATTAATGTGCAAGATCCATCTAAGAAGAAAACCTTCAACTCTGCCTTTTATGTATAGCCGTGCAGCTAACCGCTTCCCAAGCAAGTCTTTTTTTTTTTTTTTCGTGTGTGCTTATACTGATTTTGGATTGAATGTGCATTCTCCTTACTCTCCATTTGAAATGATGAAATCCTGCACACCAGATGTGCAACCCACACTTCTTGAACTAGTACGATGAATCACATCTCTCCACTGTGATTTGTGTCACCGGGGATTGGCCTGCTCCTCAAGCCTATGAATTCAGTAGGTGTGAATTTGGTTGCAATACAAAATATTTATACTGTCAGATGTTAGTTCTGACAGCTCTCAATCAATGAAAGGCTTGACATGAAATAACTGAAATGTGAATAAGGGCAGAGAACATCTACAGGAGCTTTTCATTTAATAATTTTCACATAAATGATCTGTTTTGAACCACCAAGATATGCGCATATGTGATGAATGTCTACTCAGCAAGAAATCTTTATATTTATTTAGCATCTAGCTAAGGTTTATGACCTTGCCACTCATTAGATTTGCTTCTCTTGTCATTATACATTTGCTGTTGTTTCTTTTCCAGCCTGTAAATTGAGTAACGTTCAACATTCAGTTTCAACAGGTCACTGTACTTTTGTATGAAAGTAAATCTCTTCGTAAATAAGATTTGTCTATTCTTGTGAAACTTTAGTCGTTCGTTGTAATACTTAACTGAAAACCAGATGGTCAAATCACAAAGGAATATTGGATTATGATAGATCTTTGGTATTAAACATATGTAATGTTATCTGTGTGGCTGTAACTGCCTGACATTAATCAGTGCTCATCCACGCTGTAAGGCCTACTTTTACATGAGTTGATGGATTCATACTGTTAACAAACACGGCACATGCATCAACATATTCATTTCCATCTGTGTACACTGTGTTGACTCCTGGCATTCATGTTCTTCTCCATATCTCCCTGAGGCTTATTACTTGGGCTGCTACCAAGTGTAGTCACTGTCATTTTCATCTCAAGAAGATGCTGTTCCAACACATACAGATGTGTATTTACATATAGAGTATGAAAAAAAGATGATGGTTTTATAATACAGCACAATAAAATGAGTTTACCACCATGTTAAAGGAGTCCACAGTATTTGTTGTGTAGTCTCAACAAATTTGAATGCATATTGTAGGTGTTGGTTTATCATTGGTGTAAATCTCTGACCTCACACATATTGAAAATATACATTTTACAATTTTTGGTTTTAGTAAGATTCAGAGTTATTTGGCAAATGCATTGAATACACACATTTATGGAAGCCTGAACTCACCAGGTAAAGGAGAAAAATTGCCTATAATTGTTTTCCTGCTTCTCTGTTTCTGGCAGGATGTCAGAATATTCATTTTTCTATTTTGAAATAATGACATTTTCTTAATATATTGATTTAGCCTCTCAAAATAATGACTGATTCTCTCAAAATTTTGACTCTGCATCTTGTGATGATCACTTATTACCTTAATATTGGCTTATCATCCCAGAATAATGACTTAATTACTCAAAATACTGACTTGGCATTTTGTGATAATCACTTATCGTAATATTGACATATCAGAATAGTGACTTAATTTCTCAAAATACTGACTTATTTTCTGGAAATATAGACTCAGCATCTCAAAATAATGACTTATTAGCTTGATATTGACTTAGCATCTCACAGTAATTACTTACTTTCTCCAAATATTGACTTAGCAACTCAACATAATGACTTATTTTCTTGAAATACTGACTGAATAACTCTAACTCCAATTTATTACCTTGAGATTTTGAGATACTATGTTAAAATAATTTCTAAAATTTCAATAAAGTAATTATTTTGAGATACTAAGTCATTATTTTGACATGGTATATTTCAAGAAAATTATTTATTTTGATGTAGTCAACATTTTGAGAAAAATAGCTCATTATGTTGAGATGCTATGTCAATTTTTGGACATACTGCTGCCTGACAGAGAAATAGGGTGATTTTTTTCTCCTCTGCCTGGCTGAAATGGGCTTCCATACAAATGTAACACAGCAGTGGAGTACAAACAATAAAAACAATACAGCAAGCATTTTTTTTGGTTCACGTTTGGACATAATGCAAGACTTTTACTTTGGCCAACATCATAAAATATTAATAGAATCTATTATAATCTATTGCAACATTCCAAAATCAATACAATTGAATCTCCACCTTCAGACGGATGCATCAGAATGCACAGATGCATTTTTATACCCATATAGTTTATCCAAGTGATTTTGCTGTGTGTTGGCAGCATGATGTGGGGTTAAGCATTCTTGCTTTTGGCCTGTCTCTACATGTCAGTCATCCACAGCTCTGTAAACGTAAGTAGCGCTATGCCCTTGGGCACTGGCCCCCCAACCTGTCACTCAGTGCACACAGGGCAGTAGGGCAAGGCCATGTTTGTCAACCCGAGCAAACGGCATCTGAACGTGGGAATGTGTCTTTACCAGAGCATCGTTGCAGCCTCACCCTCTGGCTCACGCGGGCCGCAGTCTCGGGCGGCAGGTGGGTCCCAAGGCAAGCGCTCAGTGATCGGGAGCAAAGGCCTGCGAGCGTCGACAAGGAGATTCATGATCTCAACAGAGCCGGGGCGGACAGGTTGGCGAGGGCTTGGCGCCGTCGTCACTCCGCATGAGAAGCAAATTTATTTGGGCAAATTCTGAGGCGAGGCAGCGGAGCGTGCGGCAACAACGTTTCCAGCGGAATGGTGAAGGTGTCACACTCATCAAGTACCTGGGCCTGCCTGCCACGGGTGTGCTCATTTTGCCTAGGGACTTGTCTGTCACATTAAAGTAGATGCGTTGCCATTCAGGACCCTCCCCAGTCCCACTGCCTGACCATGAAATAGGCCAACTTTCATGTCTGCCTCACTCTTCGGCATTCTGAGACTTCAGAGATTGCCTAGTCTTGTCGCTCTCTCTCCTCACTCCGCTCCCTAGCAGTTGGCGAATGAGACGCAAACGTTGCACAGCTCCCGGTCCCTCTGCAGACAGATTTCAGGAGGGCTTGCTGGAGCAAAAGGACTCACTAGACAAGCACTCACTAGTCTTGTCATGTGCTGGGACCCAGAGTTGAATTCATAACCACTGAACAAGCAAACATGAATTTGAGCACTTGGCAGAGAGAGACAGATGAATTTGAAATCTAATGGGAATATGTTGGAAATGGGAGCAACTGCATGAATAACAGTTGCATGAGAAAACCACAAGGTCCTTCGATATCCAATTGTTTATCTGGATCTGCATCTTAGGAACAATATATCTCTCTTAAAAGACTAGTTTGGTAAAAAGAAAAACAAAGAAATTGCATCTACACATTTTCCCTAGTGCTGCACAGATACCATATCAGTATCAGCCTGATACTGGCACTTGGTATTGGCAATAGAGAGCACCAATACCATTAAGAAGTTTATGGTGTGCATGAGTGCTACTGAGCGATACTGAGAAATTGCAAAAGTAGCAGTAGATAGAGATTAATTGACACAGGCAACATGTCAGTAGTGTGGGATTTACATCAAATTAATTAATCATTTGAAGATAAAGCGATTCATAAGAGCACAGTGACTTTTTTGTAGCTCTGAAACCATTCAAAATGTGTATCCAACCAGTAAATGCCATTCATTCAAGTTTAGTATGTTTTGTTTTTGACATAGAACTTTGCTTTTACCCAAATATAATATTTAAAATGTGGAATGGTATAAATATCAGGATTTACAGGGACTTGTCAAGTAGTTAGGCTAGATAGAACTACTATCGGTTATCAGTTTTGGTAAATGGTTGAGGGTCAGGTATCGGTATTGGTATGTGAGGGGAAAAAGTGGTATTGATGCCTCCTTATTTTTACTCTTACTCCAACTGTAGTCAATAGGACATAACTATTGTCTGAGCTTAGCTTCTTCACTTTTGTACTGGAGCTATGAGGCTAAAGTTGCCAACAAGTAACAGGAGCTTATACTCATACAAGTCATACAATGTCATAAACCACAAACGATAGGTTGACAGTTTGCCAGTCACACAAATTGTACATAAATCTGTCGTATGTGACGGTGGTATATGTATGGTGTAAATGAGGCAGACCAGCATTTCTAGCATCATTTAATGTTTAGTTGAACATTGGAATGGGCACAAGTGACCCTTGTGACTTTGAATGTAGCACAATATTTTGCACTCCTAAAGGGCTTTTCACACACAACACTTTCTAGTATTTACTGATAATGGCAAAAAGCACACAAACTATCAGTGATCAGCAATCCAGTGGACAAAATCAGCCTGTTGAAAAGTGGGGTTAAAGGAAAATGCAAGCAAACAAACAGGCCGCAATCAGGCACATCATATTTGAGTATATCATTGGTGAATTTAACATTGGTGTGAAGCAGAGGGGAACCATCAGGGCCTTTAGGGCTTCAGAGAAGGCCTAATGATTTCTGTGAAATAAAAAAAAATACATCCCAATTATTTTTAGTTCGTTTTTATTTTATAGAATCGTCATGCTTGAATTTAAACAATGTAAGTAAATTCTGGAAAATTATCCAATCCGATTTTTTTTTTGTGGTGTCTGGGTAGAAAACCGGCTTAGACGTTGTGTGTGTGTGTGTGTATCTGGGTAGAAACAACCAAGTGAACATTCCCATTGGTTAGGCCTTCACAAGATGGACTGAATGGCTAAAAGCTCAGATCAACTACTGACATAATATGGAACTGCAGTGGAATCAACCAATTAAATTTTGATTTCCAATTCCAATTTTGTGAGAAAAAAACATCACTCTAGGCCTTCTGGGTGTCCAGAAATTACCAGCAAAAGGAAAACAGTGGAGGCTCAATGCCAGGAGTCTTTACTGAAAGAGTCACTGTAGAACTAATATATACAAGGTATAGCTTAAGATTCCATGCTGGTCTAATTCTGGTCTGGTGCTGGTTTAGCTGGTCGCCCATCATACTGGCATCCAAAACACAACATATGCTTTTTTGCTAGTGATCAACATATTAACTTCCATTGCTGACCAGCATACCAGCATCCGAAACATATGCTGGTTTTGTTGATGACCAGCCATGCTGGTCTATCCTGGTTTTTCTAGCAGGATAAACAAAAAAAAGTCACTTACAAGCTTTTAGAGATCCAGAACAACCAAAAATTGTTCACACGAACCACCCTTAGCTTACCTCTAACAGACTCCTTGAATCATATAGGGGCGCTAGCAGAAATTAGCATTAACACAGAGGTGTTTTTTGCCCTTGATTTTGATTAAGTCTTGAAATTTATGGCTCAAACTGATGGCCTAGCGCTAATAGTCATGGTTTGCCATTCCTGCAAAACAATCATTTCCACATGGTACAACACTCCTGCACAATGCTTCCAGCATCTTGTGCATCCATGCTCAGGTGAATTAATGCTGCTCTGAAGGCCGAAGGAGGTGCAAAGTGCTGGTGGATATGTGTACCCATCTATTTAAGATTTAAAGGGGGCCTCCAGCCAAAATGAAAAATGTAACCATCACTACATCTGTTGTAGACATGCTTACATCCTTCACAGGTGCTGCAGTAGTTTCTACGAGGAAGCTAATTATCTTATTGTGGTCATATAACTGTAGTAACCATCTTCAAACCATAATTGCAGTGGAAAAAGAATGTATTAGTCAAACAACAGAAATGACTTGTGAGATGAGAAGGACGACAAGCTAGAAGGTTAATTTAACAAAATATCTACATACTTATCTTTAGCCTCTTTTCTCTGGCTGAAAAACTTCATTGTTTTCTTCATGATTTTGTTTGATGAACAGGAGCTACACTATTGCAAACCCTGGTTGTGTATATTAGCCAGCAGTTTAGCTGACACCAGTGGTTGTATGATGTATTTGCATGTACTATAGTGAGAGACCACTGATGATTGAAAACATGAAAAAGATATATAATCGTGAATTCTGACAAATTCTGCATGAGGGATACAAAGCACATCCTACATATATAATAATACATAACATGATTAATTACATATTAAAGGGGCCATGTCCTATATTTTTCTTATATATTTTTGTGTGGGTTTAAAAACCAGAAACAGTTGCATGACCATTTCCAACCT